TCCTTTCTATTTTGTCCATTTTCGTTAGCATTTCATCAAATCTTTTTTCAATGTTCTTAGTTTCTTTGCATTTGGTTAGAACATGTTCTTTAAGTTCACAGAAGTTTCTTACTACCCACCTTCTGAAGTCTGATTCTGTCATTTCATCACATTCGTTCTTCCTCCAACCTTGTTCCCTTGCTGTAAGGAGTTGTGATCCCTTGTAGGAGGAGAGGTGTTCTGGTTTCGGGTGTTTTCATCCTTTTTGTGCTGATTTCTTCCCATCTTTAAGGATTTATCCACCTGTCGACTTTGTAGTTGCTGGCTTTCAGATTGGGTCTCAAATCTTTCAGATTGACGTTCTGTTTGTTGATGATGAGGTTATTTCTGTTTCTTGGTTTTCCTTCTGACAGTCTGGCCCCTCTGCTGTAGGTCTGCTGAGGTTCACTCCAGGCCCTGCTTGCCTGGGGTTCACTTGCAGCAGCTGCTGAACAGTAAGGGTTGTTACCAGTTTTCTTCTTCTGCTATCTTTGTCCCAGAAAGATACCCGCCTAGCGTCAATCTGATCTCTCCTTTATGAGGTGTCTCTTTGGATATATAGGGGTCAGGGAGCTGCTTGAGGAGACGGTCTCTTCTTTATAGGAGCTCAAATGGTGAGCTGTGAGCTCTGTTGTTGTTCATTCAGTGCTGCTGGGCAGGTACGTTTAGGTCAGCTGCAGCAGAACTCATAAACTGCTTTTTGTTCCCAGGTGCTGTGTCCCAGGGATTTAGGGCTTTATTTATGAGTTTCTGTTATGCTGCCGCCTTCTTTTTTTTTTTCCTTCAGACCTGCCCTGCCCAGCAAGGAGGCAGCCTAGTCACTATCGGCCTATAGAGGCTTTGCTGAGCTGCTGTGGGCTCCGCCCCGCTGCCGAGTGAACTTCCCTGCAGTCCTGTTTATATGGGTGTAGTTAGAACTGCTTTGGCGATGGTGGCCTGCCTCTGTTGAGGCGGAGTCTCTCTGCTGTGGCGGTTTGCCTTGGCAACAGCGGGCTGCCTCAGCAATGGCGGGTTGCCTTGGCAACGGCGGGCTACCTCAGCAATGGCAGGTTGCCTTGGCAACGGCGGGCTGCCTCGGTAATGGCGGATGCCCCTCCCCCACAGAGCTGGACCGTCCCGGGTTCAGCTGCGCTTTCTGTGAAACTCTCAATCCAGAGTTTCTGGTTGCTGTTCTTTTGTGGGGGTGGGACCTGCCGAGCCTGATCGCCTGGCTCCCTGCCTCAGTTCCTTTTTTAAGTTGGTGTTCCAGTCGCCTGTTGAAGAGGCACCGGAGTCTGTTTGTTTTCCCCTGCAGCCACTCACTGCGACGGCTTAAACAGCGGCACTGGGGTTTGTGGCGCCTTTTTTTTTTTTTGCCCTGGAATCTACTGTCCTGGTTCTTTGCTCAGTCCTCTTTTTAAACAGACGAATGGGCGACTTCCCGTGGCTCCAATCGCCAGCCAAAAGGGCACCCGGACTGGTGTATTTTGTATGGAGAACCGCTGCTCTGGGGCGCCGACAAAGCAGCTATGTGGGGCAAAGCAGCGGCGCTGGCCGGCACAGCCATGTTGGCCGAAACAGCCGCGCTGGCGACCGTGGAGCTCCTCTGCCTGGGAATTTCCTAGCCTGTGGGCAATAAAAATGCGGCGTCCACTCACCCTCTGCGCTTTCACTGGGAGCTGCAATCCTGAGCTGTTCCTAAACGGCCATCTTGGATCCTCCTCGCCCCTAAATCATCTTTCTTAAATTCAAAGTCCCACAAATCTCTAGGGCAGGGGCGAAATGCCACCAGTCTCTTAGTTAAAACATAACAAGAACCACCTTTGCTCCAGTTCCCAACAAGTTCCTCCTCCATCTGAGACCACCTCAACCTGGCCCTTATTGTTCCTTTCACTATTAGCATGTTTGTCAAAGCCATTCAACAAGTCTCTAGGAGGTTCAAAACTTTCTCACATTTTCCTGTCTTCTTCTGAGCCCTTCAAACTGTTCCAACCTCCGCCTGTTACCTAGTTCCAAAGTCATTTCCACATTTTCAGGTATCTTTTCTGCAACATCTCACTTCTGGTACCAATTTATTCTATTAGTTTGTTTTCACATTGCTGATAAAGACATACCCAAAACTGGGAACAAAAAGAGATTTAATTGGACTTACATTTCCATATCACTGGGGAGGCCTCAGAATCATGATGAGATGCAAAAGGCACACCTTGCATGGTGGCAGCAAGAGAGAAATGAGGAAGAAGCAAAAGCGGAAACTCCTGATAAACCCATCTGATCTTGTGAGACTTATTCACTATTACAAGAATAGCACAAGAAAGACCAGCCCCCATGATTCAATTACCTCCCCTTGGTTACTCCCATAACTCGTGGGAATTCTGGGAGATACCATTCAAGCTGATATTTGGGCTTGGACACAGCCAAGCCATATCACTGGGTCTGAATTTCTTTTAAGGCTGTCTCTCTATAGGCCTGGGGGATTCCTATGCACATGTCCTAGAGTAACATGTTTATAATTAAAGAGTTGCTTTGTTCTTCTCCCTTGAAAAAAGTCCATATTTGTAGAGAGTACCAGAGTTTCTAAACCAGAAAAGGCTGTAGAGAGGATAATTAGTCTCAAAGAGTTGCAAATTTCTTTGGTTTTGAGCACAAGCCTTTGGCTGGGTGCTGGTCTGGGAACAGGGGATGCTTGTTTTTAAGACACAAATTCTGTGTTTAATTTTTGGAAATATGAAAGGGTAGGATGTTTACTGGGGAAGGGATTTAAAACCTTTTGTAGGCATTTTGAGTTTTGCAGATAAAGGCAATCTGCACCACAGTTCTTAGGCAAAGTAGTTCTGCAAGCAGCTCTCACAGGACTAGAGAGCCGCTCCCCAATGTGTAGCCATTATTCTGTATAATTATGGATATTTTCCCTTCCAAAAATATTTTTTTTTTCTAGAAGCTGCTGTTTCAAAGGCTTTCAATTCTGTGTGTCATTATCAAATAATCTTTTTTGTACTCGGGTGTTTATTATTGGATTGCAACAACGATAAAGCTCTAGGGGTTTTGTCTCCTTTGGTATGCTAATTAGCCAGTTTCCTTTTGATCTTTTCTCACTGAAAAGAGTGAAAAGCTATCTCGGTAAGGAATCTTAGTGCTGTACATTCATCTCCTCATCTCCATAATCTGAGGATCAGAGGAAGACAACAATTTTACTTCTGAATGAGAGCTACTAGAGGCTTTAGTTAGAGCTCTCTGCTGCCAAATAGTCTCACTGGCACCTGGAGTTGGGCAGCATGGAGGAAGTCACAGAGGGGGAGAAAGGCACAAATATTTCACGTGGCAGAGTGAGTTCAGTTGCTTTATTGTTTCTTGAAGCATTCAATCCATAAAAATCTATGTCATTTTGCCTAATTTTTGAATTTTAGATTTCTTTATCCTATTGATATATTTTTAGTGGCAACAATTGAATATTTAGTTGGAAGAAAATGGCCTGAATAGTGGGAAGAAATTATGCTGCCTACAAAATCCATTGGATGATAAGCTGCTTTTCAAAAGACACAGTACATTCACATATGCAGAGTAATCGGGGAAAATGCTGTGGCTCTTGTGGTCTGGAGGCACATGTACTGGATTATGTTTAGGAATGGATGGGAAGAAAAAAGTTAGTAGATTCTTAGTTTGATTGTTTATTGGTCTACTGTGGTTGTGAAGATTTACCTTTTTATTAAGATCTAAGGACTTAGGACACAGTCTGGGAAGTTGAGTGGGAAATTTCATAATTAATATCATCACTTAACATCTACTGAGAATGCACTAAGAGGGCAGCATTGCATTACGAGGAACAAGCATGTTGATATTTAAATACTGTAGTCACAGGACCTATACCCAGCCCCTGCAGGTACACATTCACACACGTATGCACACATTTTAGGTTTAGCTACAGGCCATCACTGTTTTTGCAAGTAAAAAGTAATTTCAGATGGCTCAATGGAACACATTTTACTGTTTGGGAGGTGTCACCAGGGTAATCAAGTTTTATTTATTTATTTTTTAGAAAGTGCTTGTATGTCCAAAAGAGTATTGACTCCTTTAAAACTGTACCAACTGGTCTAATTTCAAAAATACTGCCACAGCTGTGGACATTTTTTGAATAGTCCTAAACCTGAGGTGTTTCATTTCCTCAATGTTTAGAAACCCTTCAAAGACGGGTTTAAATTTTGGGAATAAAGGAGAGTCATCAAAATCACCTCTTGTATGTAAAAACACTTTATACTGTATAAAACTGCTGAATGAGAGCTACTATTTTGAGTGTTCTTTTAAATAAGCAAAATTTGAGTGCAATGCTTTCCTTGGGTGCCATAGCAACCACTAGTGCCTTACAATTTTTGATTCAGAAGATACTTTGAGGTCATCTGGTTGAACAATCCTTAAGCTCTATTGAACTTAGTAATTATCAGAGGAATTACAAATGCAGTTTTGAGCACCTTAAAGATTCTGATTTATTAGACTTAGAAAAGACCGGGAAATCTATGTTTTCACTAAGTTTGTCAAGTGATTCCAATGCAGGAGATGGTCAGCTATGCTTGGAATGGCTGCTCTTGTCTATAGAGATAGATGCTGAAATTCAGCAACCCACTAGAAATAATTCCGCTACACAGAAACTGATCCAGAGCAGAATACCAGACTCCCAGACTCCCAGGAGAGCCTTCAGAAGGGAATTCTCTGGTTTGAATCACAGTATGATACTTAACAGATACATGGCATTCAACCACTTTTAAAACCATTTTTAAAGCCCATGTTTTCTCATATGTAAAATGAGGATAGTTCTGATATCAATCTCACAGTGTTGTGTCCTGAAAATTGCTTACAGTGGTGTCTGGTAGATAGTAATTGCTTAATAAACATCACCTACTCTGTGTTTATCTAGAGAATTATATTATGGCTCTCTGAATTTAGTTCCTTTTCTATACTTGTCACTTTTTATGATTTCTCCCCTGCACTTTCACCCTCCTTCTTTTTACAGGCATCTCATCTTGGCATTCTTTCCCCATGACTTTGATCCCACCTTGGTTCCTGGTACTGCCACCAGACTGGAGTCATTGAAAGGTAACAATCAGTTATAATAACTCTTTGGAATCCTCCCTGAGAGGAACAGCTGGGTCTTTTCACATTTTGTCTTTATGCCCAATTAACCTCTAACTACAGCCCTACTGGGTTGTTATTAAAAAAAAAATCCTTAGCTAGTGTGCAGAGATTGAAGGTATCAGCTCAGAAATTCCCTCTTTATGCCACATGAGTGGAGGGCAGAGAGCAGGATGTAGAGAAAAGCAGCCAGCACAGCTGGTGGCATCTGCACTTGCCCACGGGCTCTTCAGACCTCGCTCTGAAGCCAGAGGCGCTAATGATGGTGCCAGAGGGAGGAAGGCAGCATGAGGCATCCACGCAAGGTGCCAATGAAGCACTTGTGTCTCTTCCCCATCTGTTCCCATCACCCATACACCCTCCCATTTGTTCACAAATAAATAGGCAATGGGCAACTAAATGCTGCCTGAGCTACCTGATGCTGTTAATTACTAGGACTGTTTAGAGCCAATTATCTCCACAAAAGCAAAACATCTTCATGTAGTATTCCAAATGGAAACTGTTTCGTCTGGGGGGCAGAGACAAATTGAACACCATGGCTTAGTTCAAGATAAAAGGGCTCTTGTTTGGCATGGATTTCAAAGACCTATTTGTTGCCTTTTTGTTTCTTTTAATTTTTGTTGTAGCTTTGCAGATGCCCCAACTACTAAAAATATAGCAGGCATGATTGGGGCATGATACTTCGTAAAGATAGATTTGTATATGTCTTTTAATCTGTATATATATGTAATGTGTACATGTAATACATACGTAATAGATGCAGAATGTATATTATCACTTTTACAAATCGGATCTTATTCTTAGTTTGAATACTATAAGCATTTCCCTATTCATTCAATCTCCCTCAATATCCACTTGGCTAAAGGGTGTCATGTAAACTATGCAGAACCTCTGTGTAACACAATTGTCCATCTATCTATTCAAACTCTGGTGGAAATCTAGTCTAGGACTTCATTTATTTAGTACAAATGATTAGACGAAAACTTTGAGTTAATTCTCTTATCTTTAGTATAAGTGAAATGATGCTTACATAAGACAAATGAAGTGTAGATCTGAAATAATTATCTGATTTTCTGGTCAAAATATTTCAACTAAGGAAAAAGCTAAGCTATGAATAATACATATTTTCTGCTGCTCTGATTAGTGTCATTGGACAATTGCTCAGCTCTTCCCTTTTTGTTCACATGTACAAGCTGAGTCATTTCTCTCCCATGTCACTATTGATAGGAAAAAAGATAATTTGTATGGAAAGCAATGTGCATGATTTCAGTCACTTTTCTAAATGATGGAAGCTTCCACAATGAAGTCAAGCACCTGGAAGAGAAGGATGCTGATAAATGCATATCTAAGCATGGACCCACCTGGGAAAGGCTGAATTTCCTTGGGCATGCTTCTAATTTCCTCTTGGTTTCTCCAAAGGGCAGGACCACATGACATGGAAAACATCTGCATATTGACTCATCCTGGATAAAGTTCATGTGAACTAGAGAGTTTTGCCATATTCTTTTAGTCATTCATTCACTTGCCATAAGGATGCAGTGGAGTTTCAAGTATGGCTAAGGTAGAATCCATGGGAAACACAAAGTTTTTATTTGTTCCCTTGAGTTAGAGAAGCCATACAGAGAAAATTCAAGGCCTAAGAGGTGTTGCTTTAAACAGTCCCAGTTTTGTGATTATGACATACTTTTCTGAGATTTAAATATATCAAGATTATTTTTGATAACACCTGCCAGTTATCCTTAATATTTAGCAGACATTTGGATGTGTACAGTAGTATGTGTTGGTATCAAACGAGACTTCAATTTATAGTACATAGATTGCTACTAGATGATGACCACAATATCCTCAGTCACAACTGGTGACTGAGCTGAAGCTCATTTGGTACCCCCATTTCATCATGTGACTGCCAGGTAATAGCTATTCTGAAAAGGAGGTCTCTTCACTGAGCTGCCTCCCAGCTTGTTAAGTGTGTGTGTGTGTGTGTGTGTGTGTGTGTGTGTGTTTGTGTCTGTGTATGTGACAGAGAGACAGAGAATATGTATGGGTGAACACGTATGCAAACATGTGAGTGTGCATAATGGGAGTGAATGTACATATATGTGAGTGTATGTGGGTGTCTGTGTGTGTGAACATGTGTCTTCAGAATGCTCATAATATAGATCATCATAAGCCTCTTGATGCCCTGCAGAGAATTGAGAGACTCTTCTAGAGAAAGTTATTAAAATTATAGAGCAGTTGAGTAATTCTAGTAACCCAGCACATTCCTAAATGTACTTTTGAAAAGGAGTTTATTGAAAAGAAATAGACCCTTTTCAATAAGCCCTAGGTTCTATCATACTATGAGGCAACGTTTGGACAGTGTCCATGGTAATCTGTGCAGTAGTCCATGCTGCATTCATTTTAAATTGTTCTTTTTAAGAATAGAATTAAATGGCTGCTCACAAACAGGACTGAGCAATTTCTGAGTGGGAGAAGATTCTTCAGTTCTTTACCCATGTGATCTGTAAAACTGATGTGGGTGTAGAACATTTCTGCCCAGAATATCATTATACATCACATGGGGATATTTTAGAATAAATATTTTCATTTTTTCTTATGAAAAAAATGTATTTATTGCTAAAATCCTTTTGGAAAATGAACCAAAAAATAGATTATTATTTTTCATATTTCTTATAAAACCTTCTCTGAAATGTCCCCATTCCAGCTCCTTTTAGAGGTTGTGACATCCAAGGATGGTTTCATAATGGCTGTGTTCTGGTGAGCTTTCCTAATTTCAGACTGGGTCTTCATGACATGTGGTGAGTGCAACTCCACTAGATGTCTTTTTAAGTCTCTGGAAACTTGATTTTTTTTTTCTTCTTAGCCAGTTAGGCCTATTCAACAGGTATTTATTAAGAAAATTTTGGGTCATCTACAATGACAGGTTCTGGGGAGAAAATGATGAATATAATCTAGGACTCTCAAGATGCTCTCAGAGTAGTAAGGGAGGCATTTTCTAAGAAAGAGCCTAATTAAGTGAAATGATAACACAAAGGAGTTCTTTTCATGGCAATATGGAAGTTTTACAGAAGGAATGATATAGGAGCTGAGGCCTGAGTGATGGATATGAATTTGTCATGTGACAGAGTATTATAGGGGGGAGTTAGAAAACATTCCAGGTTAAGCACTGGACGTATAAAAAGAAGCCCAGCTGCTGAATTTCCATTTTCAGAGCTAAGTAGTCACAATTCAAGACCTATTTATTATTTTTCCTCCTTTCTCAGTCACTATTCTAGTCTTGCAATTTTCTGTCCTCTCCTGTGCCTGATTGTCTTCCAAGGTCTTCTGAATCAAGCACTTCACTCACTGTAAAAATAGAAGACATCCAGCCTAATAAGGAGCAACTCTTTTCTGCTGTGAGTTTATTATGCTGCCTTCTTTGTCTAGGACAAACTAATTTCTTGGTTTAGAACTTTTTTGGCAGTGGGGTGAGGGGGCAGATTGGAGGCCAAAATAATGCTTTATATTCCCCAAAGCTACTTCAGCCTCTGTGTAACAGCCCAGAAAAAGGACAAACCCTCCACTCCCATAGGAAAGGCAAACAGTTTGGGTAACCTACAGTTCTGGACAGAGCTTATCCTAGGCTGTGTAACTTCAAGATGCTCACTTTACATCAAGGCTAGTTTGAAATTGGTCTCTACTTGCTTTTTCTTTCATGTTTTGAATTGTGAGTCATTGGGGTTTAAGTGCCCTTTAGATGTCTTAAAATGGGCAAGTCAATAAAACCAGACCAAAACAAAAGAACACAAACCTCCAAAAAGCGTGTTGTCTGATATTGCAACACACTTAGCCTTTTGTGCATAGGCATGGAGCAAAAGTGCTACGTTTGTAAACAGCAAGTGAAGATTTCTTGGAGTTAGGTAATGAAGGTATCAACAAGGGGCTAGAGCAAATGTTCTTCTGAAAACATCAACCATGTTCTGTTCTGTTTCATACTAGGTGGGACTGTAAATCTGCAGAAGTCAGAAAACAGCCTCCCTTCAGGCTCATGTGAAATGCTTAAAGACGTCAGGTAGTACCAGTCTTGGTTACAATGTTATACAGCAAACAAGGCCAAATTGTGGTTTAATTCCTGCATGTGTGTTGATTCGTGTTGATTTATGTAGAACAAGGATTCAGTTTATGACCCCTGAGATGATCTATTCTTGTACTAACACCCGTTTTGTCCTTTGTGTTGCATAAATGATACTCTCCTTTTGTCTAAGAGGTAATTTTCCTGTGTGGTGTGAGAATATAATTCTTTCTATCCTTTTGGTTCTGGAGAACTTTCATATTTTTTCCTCTGTTTTCTTTAATTCCATAGTGTAATCTAAACACGGGAAATGTGGTGTGCAGACCCTGGACCGATTGACATTATTTATGGTGATGCTTCTTCTAGGCAATTGCTGCAGAAATGAGAGACATCAGACCCTAACTGGCAAGAGGCATCTGGAGCCACTGGCTTCCATTGTCTTCCACATTTTTGATTTCTTCTTTGCTACTGTACAAAGATTCTGTGATTGGATAGACAATTCAGGTTAGTTCTACAAATATTTATCAAATATATGTGTAAGACTCTGTATTAGGTGTGTGGGGGTTGGGGAAGTGGAGGGAATAGCATTATGGGCAAAGATAAATAAGAATCTGTTCTTGTCTACAAGGATCCTAACATTTTGAAGGGGAAATGTTGACTTATAAACAAGAAGGAATAAAAATAGTTTTATAGTAGAAGCATAAGCACAGTGCCCTGGCAACTTAGAGAAAAGGAAATCTTCAGAAAAGCCAATTTCTTTTGAGCTGTAAAAATCCTTACAAACTGGAACTTATTACTTTTAGCTTGATATATACTTTCTGGGGCTGTAATATGAATAGATCCAGCTTCATTTCACATGTATATTTCAAAATTGCCTCTGGTTTTGGATATTTGTGGCAAAGCATTTTATAGACTGTGCTGGTTCCAAAGGCAGGTAGTATGTAGATTAATAGTTTTGAGAAAGCAAAGTAGGTTAGAAAAAGCAACTTTTTCAAGTATCCTTTGTTTGGATGACTTTATATTGTATGCTGTCTCAGACATCAATACCTTCAACTGTGGCTCAGGAAGTTTTGCTCATCAATCCATTTCACTTCTTATTAAATATTGTATTTTCTTAACATGGAATACATGGATGAGCTTTACGGAACCTATATACTCACTGTAAGTATATGCAAAAAATCTATGTACTTTTTTTTTTTTTTTTTTTTTTGAGATAGAGTCTTTCTGTGTTGCCCAGACTGGAATGCAGCGACCCCATCTCGGCTCACTGCAGCCTCAAGTGACTCTCCTGCCTCAGCCTCTTGAGTAGCTGGGATTACAGAGACCTACCACCATGCCCTGCTATTTTTTTTGTTTTTGTTTTTTGTATTTTTAGTAGAGACAGGTTTTCACCATGTTGGCAAGGCTGGTCTCAAACTCCTGATCTCAAATAATCTGCCCGCCTCAGCCTCCCAATGTGCTGGGATTACAGACATAAGCCACTATGCCTGGCCTGCTATTACTATTTTTTGAGACTGAGTCTCCTTTTGTTGCCTAGGCTGGAGTGCAGTGGCACAATCTCAGCTCACTGCAACCTCTGCCTCCCAGGTTCAAGCAATTCTTATGCCTCAGCCTCTCAAGTAGCTGGGATTACAGGTGCCCACCACCACTCCCAGCTAATTTTCGTATTTTTAGTAGAGACAGGGTTTTACCATGTTGGCCAGGCTGGTCTTGAACTTCTGACTTCAAGTGATCCTCTTTCCTTGGCCTCCCAAAGTGTTGGGATTCAGGCATGAGCTACCATGTCTAGCCCTACATTTTTCTGGAGAGCACATTCTCTTCATCAGAGTCTCAAAAACACTCATGAACTATATGATGTAAAACTACCATATGTTCTCCCTTCATGATTTTATTCACTCTAAGTATTTCAATACTTACTAAATGTTGATGACTTTAAAACCAGTATTTCTAGCCTAAACCTCTTCTGAGTTTTATTCTTACATATCTAAATGTTTACCAGCCATCTTTACTTTTTTGGGCCAATAGCACAAACTCACCAATTTCAAGATTAAATTCATGGTCTTTCCTTCTAAATCTTCCTGCTCACACATTTTCTGTCTTCATTGGTACCACCAACATCTACTCAATTACCCAAGATAGAAAACTAAGGATCATTTTGCTAATTCTTATGTGTCTTTTAAGATAACTCAAATATCACTTACTTAAGAAAGCCCCTCTTGACCACCCAAGACATGGTGATTGATCTCTTTTGGGTTCCCATAGCACCCTGTACATATCTCCATCATTGTTCAGCCACATATTAATAATCGATTAATTTTTCTGGTTCCCTCATTAGTCTGTAGGCTCCTTGAGAGAAATGACCCATCTCTTGTTTGGCTTTTGGATTTGTAACTCAGCAGTGAGCCCAGAGTCAAACACTCAGTAAATGCTTAGAAAAGAATTAATTAAGAGGATGAGCTAGGGGTATTCCATGACTATCCACCATATATGGCTTCCTGAAGTTCAGACATAGTGATAGCGACTTAAAATATTCTGATTTCATGGCCCATGAAAGTGCAGAAGGAAGAAAACTTTGTCTAGTGTGGTTGCTAACATGAAATTATCTGAAAAGTCAGACCTTAATGCTGATTCTGTTACTCAGTAGGAGGGGAATGCTAACTGTGTAGTAATAGCCCGTATTCTAAGTGTCCTTTTTAAACTTGAAAATCTTCCTCTCCGGGGAAAAAAATTCTGTTAAGTTAAACATTTAGCTTTTAAAAAAATAATGTTTCAGAATCAAGTAATTAATAATTCATAGCATCTTATGGCAATTTATGTTAAATAGAAGTACAAAATTCCTGCATTCTGGTGGAAGCATAAAGGACAAGCATAGTAATACTTCGTCCATTGTTGTTTAAGATAGAAACACTTTTAAAATAGGGACTAATTAAAAGGAATTAGTGTATGTCTCTCCGTCCTTCACCTACCAAACCTCTTTTCAAGCCATTGTAGTGAGTTTTTTTGTTCCTTGTAGTCAAATGAATCAGAATTTTGTGTCCTCTTCCCTCCTCCTGCGTTAAGAGCAAGGGAGTGCTCCCTCCTACTCTATGCCATGTAAAAGGACTTGAGAGAAAGTACGGTGTTTGTCAGAAGGGAAGCCTGACATCTCACCCCGGCTGTTAGCTGAGCTATAGAATCCCATCTGTTCTTGCAATACCATGAGAGCACAGTCAAGAGTGCAGAGAGAATCTAGAGAGAAGTCAAACTGTATCCTCTAGAGTCTGGACCTAGAGATCACGCCCTGGCTATAGCTTGGAAAATCTTAAAAGCAAGAGGCTTGTGGAGAAGACTTGAAGGTAGAGCAATGAAAGAAGGCCACAGTGAGAGCATCATATACATCCAGATTTTGAAGAGACAGAGGTTTTCTCATGGGCTAACTGGACACTGTGACAAATTTAGAGGTATCTTGAAAGTCCACTGCCTAAGAGATCTGATGATCAGTACAAGATGACGTCAATAGACAGGCTGAATGGTGTATACCACTGGAGCAGGGAATGAGGTGCGTAGTCTGGGAATGGTGTTGGAGATGCTATGTGTGTGTGTGCATGTTTGTGTTTGCATGTGTATGTTTTGGGTTGGGTTTTTTCTTCCTAGCCCCATCCTCAGCCCCACTCCATCCCACTTCTTTAGAAGCTAGAAAAATAAGTTAGCAGGTTGGGCACGGGGGCTTATGCCTGTAATCCCTGCATTTTGGAAGGCTGAGGTGGGTGGATCACTTGAGGTAAGGAGTTTGAGACCAGCCTGGCCAACATGTTGAAACCCTATCTCTACTAAAAATACAAAAAATTAGCTGGGCATGGTGGTGCACAACTGTAATCACAGCTATGGAAGCTGAGGCAGGAGAATTGCTTGAACCAGGGAGGCAGAGGTTGCAGTGAGCTGAGATCATGCCATTGTACTCCAGCCTGGGTGACAGAGCAAGAATCTGTCTCAAAAAAAAAAGAAAGAAAGAAAAAGAAGTTGGCAATGGGACAGGCAAAGGAATAAGGATGATCTAGCTACCTAGCTAAAAAGCTGCTATCTTTGTCTGCTTGTGCTACAATAACAAAATACTTGAGACTGGGTAACTTACAAAGAAAACAAAAATTTATTTATTTATCATATTTCCAGATGCAGGGAGGTCCAAGATCAAGGGACCGGGAGATTCAGTGTCTGGTGAGGGCTCTGTCTCTGCTTCTAGGATGGTGCTTTGAATGCTCTGTCCTCACTTGACAGAAGGACAAAAAGGGAGGAACTGTTCCCCCATACCACTTTTTATAAAAGCATCCATCACCTCCTGAAGGCTTCACCTCTTAATACTATCACATTGGGATTAAATATCAACATGTGAATTTTTGAAGGACACATTTAGCCCACAGCAGCTGTATTACTGAAATGATCAGAGTATCTGTTGTACTCAATGCTGTGGAGGCCTTTCCAGGCCTCCTTTTCACCTAATGCATCAATCTGTCAGCTTCTATAAGTGGTTGCTGCTAATAGCTCACAGCTTTCCCGTGCTGCTGAGAATTGTGCTTGGCCAAATAGGAGCCATCTCACCCAGGAAGCTATGAATGCCCCCTTAGTAAACCTAAGACATCTAGTATTTTATAGGATTTGTCAAATTTCTTCTGCTGCTGGCATAGAATGTTAGAACCGTTAGAAGCATTTTGGGGGGCTGTCTATTCCTAGCAATCATGAACTAAAAACATCTAAACAAAATATATTTTCTAAAAAGTCTGTTTGAAACAATTAAAGAGCTACCAAAGTAACTAAAACTTGAGTGCCCAAGGTCTTGGAGAGAAGAAAAGTGCACAGAGGATATGATTTTCAGGGATGCTTTTCCCTTTAAGGCATTTGCCAATTCCAAAGCAGCAGCAGAGAGGCTGAGAAATTGAGCAGCAATTGATGGCTGAAAGCTCAAGGAGGCAAAAGAACTCCTGGTGGTCTCACAGGCTAGTGGACAAAAGCTGGAATTCAGAGCCAGCTCAAGGAGGGCGATCTTGGCAAACCCTCCAGGGTTTTAACTAAGATTTTGGATCTGCTACTCCATAGGAGTGAGGGTGGACGAGAAATAGACCAGCCCCACAAAGCTGAGCACAGATTTAAATCAGTTCATTCTCAAGTCAGAGTAAGATCATCTTTCCTTACCCTGTCAGAAGCAAAAGTAAATGCTGTCTTGAAGAAGTTGACGTTATCCAGAATCCCAAATGACTTTTCAAACTTTTGTATATCATGTGTGTCATTTAATAAAAAGTTACCAGAGCAGTGGTAGAATGGTGAACTAAAACCATCTGTACAAAATGTACTTTCTAAAAAGTCTGTTTGAAGCAATTTGAGAAAAGCTTAATGTTTCTGAAAACCAGGAGGAAAAAACAGTAAAAACAGACTTGGAGGCGATCCATGTATTGAAATTATCTTACATAAACTTCATAAATCTGATAAAAATAAAAAGCAAGATAGAGAATTTAAGAGAATAAAAACTTTTTAAAAATCAAAAAGGAATTCTAGAAATGAAAACAACAGACATTAATAACTCCATAGATAGGTTTAATAGCCGACCAAAACAAAAACCAAAAAACCAAAACCCGATAAAAAAAGAATTGGAGACAAACTAGATGTTTTTGTATGCAGAACAAGGACAAAGACGGCCTTTTAATGAAAACTTTTTCTTTTAATGTGCAAACTTACAAAAGGTTGTTCCTTTGTAGAAAATATTAATTATTAAATAATAGTAATCATGCCAGTAAATAATGAATTGGATGGTGATACTTGATGCTTCTCCTTCCATCCCTCTGTTGATGATCATAAGCTTCTAATGCCAAAAACATTAAAAATTTGTCATACTAGAGACCTTAAGAAGCCCATGAGGTCAAGAGTTAAGCTATGGCATTAGTTACTGTGCTCTGAAGACTGTAGTCTAACATAGCGTGTTAACACAAATTAAGTGTCATAGATCAATCACAAGAGCTAAATTTAGGGAATTAAGGAGCTCATTTACTCCTCCCGTAGCCCTACCATAGCTTTAACCTCCAAGACAAACTACCACCTCATCAGCTGCAAAACACTGCTGGCTTCTATTGGAAATGCAAAATGTTTCCTTGATGTTAGGATGAAGGGCTGTGTTTGTAATATTGTGCTCATAAAACAAACTTCATTCTTTCTCAAGTAATTGGCTTCCTGCTGACAGGAGCTCTAAAGAGATGTCTGACAAGAGTTTGAATTGGTGTGTTAGTACCTTTCTTATGTATTTCTCTCCATGCTCTGTTTATATTTCCTCCTGTTGGCACACTCTTCTTCACTTGGTAAAGATGAGTTTGGATTTCTAATGTTTTCTTGCATAGACTTATTAGTGATCTGTAGTTGTGCAGTGTTCTAATGACTGTACAACTGTAAAATTTGTGGGTAGGCTAGAACACATTAAATCATAAGGTCCTGGTCTGAGCAGCTCCAAATGTCCCTAGAATTTTGGCACCAGAACAGGTTTTCTTTTTGTGGTATCCTTTTGTTTGTGCTAAAAGACTCACTTGGATTTTATAGGATGCAAAAGACAGTTCTGTTTTCAGTGTCCTGCCCTTTAACCTACTATAGAACACAATTTGAATGTTCTTTTGGAGGACAGATCAAACCTACTTCTCATAAGTGGGTGTTGAACAACGAGAACACATGGACACAGGGAAGGGAACATCACACACTGGGGCCTGTTGGGGGGTGGCGGCTAGGGGAGGGATAGCAGAAGGTAGGAGGATAGGGGAGGAATAGCATTAGGAAAAAGACCTAATGTAGATGGCAGGGGGATGGATGTAGCAAACCACCATAGCACATGTATACGTATGTAACAAACCTGCATGTTCTGCACATGTACCCTGGAACTTAAAGTATAATAATAAAAAAAAGTGATTACTTTGGGGGAAAACATTCCAGATCCTAAAGTGCTGAAGCTGAGGTGGTTCTGAGACACATGTTAGTAGGTAACTAAATCAGAATGAAAACATTTATGAAGATGACTGTCATGTTGAAGCAATTGAGGTGCTGAAATTCCTTGGTATCAGGGTCACTTGTGGAGTCAGGGCTCAGGGATGCTGTGGATGAAATAATGAACGAAAGAATTTAGAAATAAGTTTTTGCATCCATCCTTAGAATAACACCCCCTCCTCATTCTCACACATTCCCAAGCCATGGGGTAGGATTACCGTGACAAAATGAGTTCCTAGCAAACTCTTTAAAGACTAGAGGAAGGAAATCTGAAATATCTTCTGCCTTCTATTTATCAGTTTGGAAAGCTTACATTTAAAGTATCTGACTGTAATGCAGATTTTAAATATATAAAGTAAAACAGCAGTGTGAGACTCGAGTGCATAAAGGCAGGACCGAATTTCATGAAAATCAATTGGGATGCCTTACTAAGAGCATATTGTCTTAACAATGGAAAGGTCTAAATTCCAAGCTTCCTTTTCCCATTTTCTTGTCCTATGTCCAAATTAAAGAAAATCACTTGATTTTCCTGGGCTGCTTCTTCATGTGTAACATGAAGCATTTGGAAAAGTGTTAAAGAGCCCATGAGCCTATGAATTATGCGTTGGGTATTTATCAGACTTGGATTAGTGTGTTATAAGAAACCAACATGTTTAGGCCGGGTTGATAGTCTAAATATTTACCAACCCTATAGTATAAGTACTCACCAATCAAAATGGAGGCTTGCTGTAAACAGCCAGTAGCTCTGCCCCTGTGCATGTTAGGTAAATATCAACTACACTTTTGGGAATGGAACCCTGGAATCAAATTGTTGAAGGAGAAAAACCTTAGGATTCACCAGTCCATCTTCCTGATTTTACACACTGTTTCATCCTCTGTTAAATAAGAACATTGTGATATTAAAAAATTGCAGCAAAAGTATGACACAAATGCATGAAGGCTTAGATACATGAGTGGATATCCCAATAAATGTGGTAGATTAATATAATAATGGCATTAATGAATCACAGCTCCTTGTATCTGCACCCTCTATTAATCCTCTCTCACGTTAACTCTGGGCTCAGCCATGTGAGCCCACATGGTTTTGGTGGTAATGGGACATTAGCAAATGTGACACAAGCAGAGGCTCAACAAATGCTTGCTCATTAGTGTTTACCCTATCTTTTGTTACTTTGGATCATAGCCACTATTAGGAGAAGACTTCTGGCCTCCTGGTGACATATGGCCCAACTGACAGCCAGCACCACCCACCAGACTTGTGAGTGAGAGGATTAGACTAACAAACACCATTTGAGCTGACAGATGACTATGGCAACATGAGTGACCCCAGGTGACATCAGAAAAGATACTAACCAGCTGAGCTCAGCCCAAACTGCTGACCCACAGAATCAGAGCAAATTATTTAGTGGTTACTTAAGCCACTAAATATTGGGGTTTGATTCACCACAACAGATACTTGACACAAAAAGAGAAGGATCTATAAGTTGGGGAGGGACACGCTGAAGGGGAAGTTGATGTGAGGAAAGATGGTGGTGATCTCTTCCACCATTTTCCTAATTGAAGTTGGGATCAAGGATTTCTGTCTAGTTACTATGAACAGGTCTCTTGCTTCCCAGATTGACCAGGGAGCTCCTTCTTATTCATCTTTCTGTTCAAGCACACTTAGTTTCAGGAAAAACTCACTGGTTGAGTCCTAATCACTCTCAGCAAAGAAATACAGGTGGAATTTCCTGCTTCTATTTCCCTTTCAGAATGTGACAAGGAACAGCTGTTCTGGTCTTTTCTTGTTGATTCAGCAGCAAAAATATTCATGGAATACTATGAGAATAAACAGAGTTCTTGGGAAAAGGTAAGAAGATAAGATCTAAAAATGACTGAAAAACATGAAAGATGTTTTTCCAAATGTCCACTTACAACCTGCAACCTTCCTGCTTTCAACACTACTTTGATATAATTAAAAAAAAACCAATTGTATCATTGTGCTAAAGCTTCTGAAACCTTCCCTTTGGCAACCACAGGTCAAAGAGTTCATATAAAACGAAGCCTTAAGGACTTCTGCTTTTTGTCATAAATCACTCTTAAATTGGACAAATATATGAGGCAACTGTTTTTAAGTATCAACAAGCAGCACAATTCCCAAGAGAAGGGAAAGACTCTCTCAATGTTCATCTCACTCTGTGCCTAATTTTCCAGCTGTGGCACAGGAAGCTGGAGTTTCACACAAAACATAGTGGTGCAGCTGAGCTGAAGGGGCAGGATAAGAGGTCAGGGCTGCTCAAGTGGTGAGTAGCTGCATATACGGCAGTAAGAAGGAAAGAATTGTGCTGGGTCATGAGAGTTGGAGAGAGACGTCTTTATAGGAGTTCCCATGAGTTCTTGCCTGTTGACTGAGATGCATAGTGTGGGGCAAGATCATACAGGGCATGCTGCTGTGGGGCTGATAGTTAGAACAGAGACACAAGACAGAACATCACTGGAAGGTGCTGGAGCTCTGGCCCAGACTGAGGAGAGAGTTCTTATGAATACCTGTATTTGTTTGTTCTCCACTGCTAATACAGACATACTTGAGACTGGGTAATTTATAAAGGAAAGAGGCTTAATTGACTCACAGTTCTGCATGGCTGGGGAGGCTTCAGGAAACTTACAATCATGGTGGAAGGGGAAGCAAACAGGTCCTTCTTCACGTGGCAGCAGGAAGGAGCAGTGCTGAGCAAAGAGGGTAAAAGCCCCTTATAAAACCATCAGATCTCATGAGAACTCACTAGCACGAGAAAAGCATGGGGAGACCACCATCATAATCTAATTACTTCCCACAAGATTCTTCTCCCAACATGTGTGGGGATTACAATTCAGATTGCAATTTGAATTACAATTCAAGATAAGATTTGGGGACACAGAGCCAGAACACGTCAATGCCCCAGGCATTCATCTGAGATACCTGAAAGGTCACACTTTAGAATAAAGGATCATGTCTTGCAGTAGGTCCTACTTTGCACCTACCTTGATAAAGCCTAGAAAATCAAGCTTTGACAAGATTTGCAGGGGAGACAGAATTTGGAGATTGAGTATACTAAGTTGGGGAAATGAGAAATAGTAGGGCTTTCACAGGCTAATAAGTTCAAATTTACTATCCAGTACTTAAATTATCAAGGGCATCACGAGAAGAAAAATTAATAAACTAATATTTTTGATTAACATAGATGCAAAATTTAAAAAACGTAGCAAATCAAAACCAGTAATATATAAAAAAGGTAGGATGTCATGCACAAATCAGGCTGGTCTTAGGTATATAAGACTAGTTTAACATTTGAAAACTAATATATGTAATTAACCACCCTAAAAAAAGAGAAAAGAATAATAATATGATAATCTCTCAATAAATACCAAAAAAATTGACAAAATTTAACACCCACATATGATAAAATCTGTCAACAAATTAAGAATAAAAAGGAATGTTCTAAAACCAATAAAGAGCTTATTCAATATATCTATAGCAAATATCATAGTTAGTAGTGAAACATCGAATGCTTTTCTCTTAGACTGGGAAGAGGGCAAGGATGTCTGATCTCACCTCTTTTATTCAGTGCTATACTGGAAGTACTAGCCAGTGGAATAAAGCAAGACAAAGGAATAAAAGGGATAAAGATACGAAGGAAGAAGTGAGTTTGTCTCAGTTCACAAATGCCATAATTATCTATTTTGAAAAGTCAAGAAGTCTACAAAATATAAACAAAAAACCCAATTAGAATTAATGAATAAATTTAGTAATGCCTCAGGATAAATCCAATTAAGAAAAAAACCTATATGTCGATATATTAGCAACAAACAATTATTTAAAAAAGTAGTGTTTAGTATAGTGTCAAAAAACATAAAATACTTTAAAATAAATATAACAAGCATAAAAATCTTTCGTATTGAAAACAACAAACAACTCTGAGAGAAACTTAAAAAATTCTAAATAAAGAGATATATCATCTGTATTGGTTGACAGTCTCAATATTGTTGACTTTTTTTTCTAAATTAAAATATAGATTCAATGCAATCCCAACCATTTTTTTTTTTTTTTGCAGAAATGAAGAAGCTGATTCTAATGTTTGCACACAAATGCAAAAGGCCTGGAATAATCAAGGTAATTTTAAACAAGAGAAATAATGTGAAGGACTTATACTATCTGGTTTCAAATCTTACTATAAGTGTAAAAGTAATCAATCCTATTAGAATCAAGTATGGAATTGTCAGAAGGACAGACATATAATCAATGGGATAAAACAGAATTCAGAAATAGAGCCACCCATATATGATCAATCCATTTTGGCAAAGGCAGCAAGATAATTTAATAGAAAAGGGACACCTTTTTAAACAAATGATACAGAAAAAACTTGATAATCTTTTGAAAAAATAAATATTTACCCCTACTCTCTACTACACAGAAAAATTAAATTAAAATGGATGAGAGATCTAAATGTCAAAGCTAAAACTATCAAACTTCTAGAAAGCAAAGTGGAAGAAAATCTGTGTCAAGTTAGAAGAGAAAAAGATTTTCTAGATAGAATACAAAAAGAAATAATCATCAACATAAAAGAGGATAATTTGAACTTCATCAAAATAAAAATCTTCAAGTACACTGTTAAAGGCAATCATAGACTGAAAAAAAATACAATGGATATTTCTGACCAATAACTTGTAATCAGAATATACAACAAACCTTTACAACTCAGCAATAAGAATCAAACAAGTCATTAAAAAATGGGAAAAGACTTAGCACTTCACAACGGACACAAAGAACTTTTGCACTTTAATAAGATGTTAAGAAGATAATTCCTTACAACAGAAAAAATATTTGAAGAAACACTGTACGAGTAAAATATAGAAATGGTCCATAAGGACATGGAAAGACTTTCAACATCATTATTCATCAGGAAAATAAAAATTAAAACCATGGAGAAATATCACTTCACGCATACCTGAATGTTATAAATTTGAGACTGTAAATAGAAAATGCCAGTGAGGATATGGAGCAACTGGAAGCCTCACACACTGCTGGTGGAATGTGAAATTGCACACCATGATGGAAAATAGTTTGACAGTTATACAATTAAGTATGCAATTACTATATACTCTGGCAATTGCACTTGTAGGCTATTTACCTCCCTATCTTCAAGATAGAGAACATGACCACAAAAATATATGTTCACAAATGTTCATGGCTGCTTTATTCCTATGAGCCAAAAACTGTAAACAATTTAAATGTCTACATAGATGAATAATAAACATAAGATGGTATATTCATATGATAGAATGCTACTCAACAATAAACAACAAGAAAACAAAACTGAAATACATGGAACAACATGAATGCATCTCGGAAATACTCTACAGAGTGAAAGAAGAAAAACACAAAAGACAACATGTTGTGTGATTCAAATTCTTTAAAATTTAAAAACTGGTAAAAGTAACATATAGTGATAGGATTCAGATCAGGAGTTGCTTGGAATGGGACTGACTACTAAGTGGCACTGAAGGAACTTTCTAGGATGATGGAAATATTCTACCTACAGCTTAACTGTGGTGGCAATAGATACAGGTGTATACCCTTGTCAAAACTCATTGAGCTGTACACCTAAAATATATGCATTTAATTGTATGTAAAAGTTGATTAAAAAATGAACACCCTTTATCAATCAAAATAACAAAACAACAGCGAGAAAAATAAAGCCTTCAGGAATGCTTCATTGAGTAGCCCTCTTACTGAAAAAAATAGGAATTATTTTTCATTTCCAATCAGTTATGAGGAATATAAAATATTGAATAACAATATCATAAAATTTAAGAAGAACGTGACTTTTAACTCAAATACAACTATGATTAAATCTTTTCATGTTAACAAATTCAAATGTCACAAAGGCAGGAGAGAGAGGCATTAGTTACCCCATCTTCATATTAAAGAAAAATGGTTTAACTTCCAGTTTAATGGAATTAGAAAAAAAAAAGAAAAACACCCTCAGAGAGGTTTTAAATAGCTTATCTAGAGTTAATGTGGAAACTGGGATTCAAACTCAGATATTTTGGCACTAAATTCAATGTCCTTTCCACTATACTATGCTGTTTCTCTTCTTATGCATCCCCTTGAAAATATTTTCAAGAACCAAAGCTAACCATATCCTTTCTGCTGCTAGGCCTTAAATTGCATTTCCTTTGATGCTATTAGATAGAAAAAGGTTTTTTCAGTTGGCAATGAGTTTTTTTCTGAAATCTTCTCAATCACTAGCTTTCCAAAGATGTGGCGATCTTTATCTTCCTTGCAGGAGGTTTGGAATTTTTGAACAGTCAAATTAAATTAAATCTTATAACAGCATTTTCTCTCCCCAACCTGCATTGCTAATGAGAGTAGAAATTGGTACAATATTTCTGGAGAGCCAGTTGGCAATATGTATCAAAACTCTTGGCATATTCTTGGACTGCGCAATTCCCCTTCTGGGAATTTATCCCAAGGCAATTATTAGAGACGTGTGTATGGATGTGTGCATGAGGATGTAACATTATTCACAATAGCAAAAAATTGAAAACAATTTCAACGTCTGTGTCAGAAACTGTTTTTTTCTTTCCATTCCCATCTCTTCTTCCTTAACATAAGAATGCTGGTTTGTAGTTGTACATGGTCGCCCAGTAACACATTACATACCTTGACCGCTTTTTATGGCTCATTTGTGGTCATTCAAAATATTGTATGTGACTGCTAAGAACATGCCTTGCAGGGAGGTTTTCTTTGACCTTTTCCCTTCCAGCCTACTGGATTGTGAATGTGATGGCTGGACTTGAAGCATATATGTTGAAACATGGGGCAACAGTCTGAGGATGATGGAACCACGAAACACAAGGACTCTCTGGGTCCTGGCACTGTGGGAATCACCATGCAATCCTGGAGTCTTGTTTTGCATAAACAAATATAAACTTCAGTCTAGTTTAAGCAACTGTATTTTAAATTTCCTGTCACAAATAGCCAAATCAAATCCCAACAAATGCAGTGTTTAACAGCAAAGGGATAGTTAAATTATGGTATAGGCATAGGGTAGAATCCCAAGCAACTGCTAAAATGACATGAAAAAATTTACCAAGAGAAAAAAAATAAGTGACATACAAAAGAAGGATACATAATATTTACAAATGTTTTTATTACATTAAATATATATATATACACACACATATATATGTATATACCAGCAAGTTTAATTGCAATTCACTAATTTTAAAGAAAAAGGATATAATAACAGATAAATTTTAAAATGTAGGAATTAAATATTGAGGAAGTCTTGTCCATGTGCATTTAAAAAAATATGCTACAGTTGTTATATGGATGCATAAATAGTTATGATCACTCTTAAAACTGTATGTGAGCCAGTTATTTAGTAGATGGGTGAATGTATATACTTTATAGCTCCTACTCAAAAAGGATGAGAAGCAGAGGGACATTCTAAAGATGACATCTAGCGGTTGCTGTGGTAACCTTATAGGCTACATGTTAGAAATCTTTTCTGTCAGTTTCTAGAGTTGAAATTGACATATTCTTAGCTTTAAAATATAAGAACAAGGCAATAACTGGCCATTGTTAACCCTTACAGGGTGAATTTGTGATGACTATTCAGCCTACAGAGAGTAGTAGAGTCACAGTGGAAGTGTTCAAGAGCAGCCCTACAATGATTAAAGGAATCTAAAACCTGTGCTAGAATTTTCATGGCAACCTTAAAGAACTGTCGCTGCAGCCAACAATAAAAGCTCATGTTTATTACAGAGCACTTACTATTCAACAGGCACAGTGGTAAATACTTTATAAACACCATCTCATTTACATTTTATAGTACTTTTAAAAAGTAGCATTGTTATTGTTATTTTATAAAAGAGAACAAAATGAGACTTAGAGAATTTAGCTGAATTTTTCTAAGCTCCATCATTAGGACAGGATTGTGCCAGCATTCAAACCCAGGTCATCCATCCACATTCTTAAGCACTGCTCTATCCAGTGTCCAGGTGGTTGCCATGAAACCCGGTCTGGGTCTATTATAAACATGCCCCTTTGAGGGAGATACTCTGCAGCGATACTGGCTTATCCAGTCTAGCCTTAATCATCTACACTCATTAAACAACAACCACTTTGACTACGACACTGTTGTGATTTCTCCAAGTATGATGTACCCTTGTTATGACATTGAAATATACGACTAAGCTTATAATTGTGTCACATCATAATTTTATTTTGAAGCCTAGCTGTAAAGTCAGGCAGAATGGCTAAATGGGGTAAGCCTAAAAAGTGTGGCAGGGAAGACGCTGCACAGCTGAGGCAATGAGAGGATGCTTCCCTGAAGAGCTGACCTTGGAATAAGCTCTAAAGCCTAGCTCCTCGGAGAGCAGCTATGGAGGGGCAGCAATGGCTTGCCTTGTTTAATGTGCAGCATCTTAGACCCTACCCTACATGTACTGAATGAGAATTTGCATTTTAACAAGAACCTCATGAGATTTGCAGGCACATTGAGGTTTGAAAAGCACTGCCTTAAAGAGTGGATAGCATTTCAGCAGCACATGCAGAGGGAACAGCACAGGGAATGGCAAGAGCAGAGGTACAGTGGTGGGAAAGAACAAAGCCATTTTGGAAGAATGTCCTATCTGGTTGAGCTGTGGCACAAACTGGAATGAAAGATGGTGAGTAGTGGGAAGATAGGTAGGACGGAATTCATGGAGGGCTTAAGAACTACATCTTGTTTTGGAGGTAATGGAATAACAAAGTTTTTGTTCAGAAGGTGATGTAATTTTTTTTAGTTGACTAGACTCTTAAAATTTATAAAACATGTAAGCTTTGTGATACATTCAGAACTTAACCTTTGGGTAAGATGTGACTCCACGCTTTCCCTTTAGTCTTCACATTCCCAAACAAATCTGTTATTAATAGGTATTAATTTTATGGAGGTTATTAAAAGAGAATGAAGTGAATGCTGATGGCAAAAAGGAAGACTTCTAAATTCTACACCTATCATGCATTTACTGTTAGGGATTTGATGGTTAAACTGACCTAGGAGATTTAAAAACCCGAACAATCTTGTTCTTCATGAGTAGTTAGAACAAGCAGACAAAGTGTAT